TCCTAAGGTCCTGGAGAGCTTAAATGTAAACAAGTTTCCTGGTTACACCCGGCCATCATCAGACCTTTAGCTCGGGTGCTCATCTCTGCAATATCAACACTCTACCACGAGTGCCTAGGGGCTGGGATAGTACCTAGTGATTAAACGACTGCCACAGTGGCAGCTATCTACAAGATTGAAGATAGGAGCAACCTGGTAACTGCAGACCCGTAAGTTTGACCAGCGTGCTATGTAGGGGTTTGAAAACCATTGTTAAGAATGCGCTCTGTGAGCACATCACTCGACATACGTTGCTTAGCCCGGCCCAGCACGGCTTTCTCAAAAAGAGATTGTGTTTGAGCAACCATCTTCGTTTCTTAGAAGAAGTTACAAGGAGGTTACATCGAAATTAGGAAGTGCTACCTGGACTTCAGGAAAGCCTTCGACTCGGTAAATCACCTGTTTCTATCATTAAAGTTAAGGGGTTTTTCAGGGGATTTTGCCTCGCTTAACCGAACTCTGAAGATCCGCCTGTTCAAAGACGCCCCTATCAATTTAGGCAGAGTCCCAGGAAGGCCAAAGTTCTTCAGCTTTTTAAGGAGTGATCGGTGATTAACCGAGTCACAAGATTTTTAAAAACTAAGCAACAAACTTCGACTTTTAGACCATCGTCCAATGTCCTTGTGACTTCATCTAGAAAGCACAACAGGTTGGTGAGACATAACCTCATTTTGAGGAACCTATGTTGGGTCGGGGATAGTAGGTTGTAGCGCAAAATAAGCTCACCTGTACCGTTTCTAACGATTGTCTCACAGAGGATACTAGTGAGACTAACCGGTCTATAGGTTTCTGGCCCCTTTCGGTTACCCCCCCCCTCCTTGGGTATTGCCACAACTGTCGCCGTCCTCCAATCTTTCGGTATATCACCGAATCTTAAGGATTTCTCGTATATTGCACACACGGGAGCCGCCAAAATCTCTGCGAGCGGTTTGACGATGACCGGATGAGGTCCATCATTACCCGCTGATTTGCCAGATTTTAATTCAGTAAAGATCTTCAGAACTTGAGCTCTGTCTACCTGTAGATCGATCATTGAAGGAGCTCGTACCTGTGGCGGATGCGACGGATAGCTGCGCCCATCATCCATTTTATAGACCCTTTCAAAAACAGTTTTGAGTATCTTGCACTTCTCCTCCTCTGAAGACACTTCTTCCACTGCGTCTTTTCGTAGGACCCCAACCGATTACCTAAGGGTAGCCTCCGAATGTATATACGCGTAAAACAGTTTGGGATTGGTTTTAGCATGCTGAGCGATCCTCTATTCATGTTTCACTTTAGCACGTTTTAAAAGCTTGTTTGCGTAATTTCAGGCCATTTTGTAGGCCACCCACCTGCGCTGCCCTTCGAAGTTTGTATAGTCCTTCCATTTGCGCCCCTTGAAAGTTATCGCCTTCTTTATGGGAGTTGTCCATCATGCAGGGCCTTGAGAATTCCTCTTCGTTTGTAATGGTGCGTACCTGAAAATGAACACTACTAGGCAATCCCAAAGTACGCCCCATTCTTCCTCAACAGATGCATCCTCGTTGGGCGACCACCAAATGGTTGAACCAGCCTCTTGGAGTAGGCCAGCCACATTCGTTCGACCAAAGTTCCTTCTGAATTTGGAGGCGGCTTTTCCTGATTTATGCACGTCCTAAACGTGATTACACTATGATTGCTCTTGCCCAGTGGGACTTCCATAGTCATTTCACTAACGTCGTTCTCTGCCCGGGTAAGTACTAGATCTAAAATAGACGATATCTGCCCATATCTGAATCGAGTTGATTATTGAACATGTTGATAAAGTGCCTGCCCGTGGAAAAACCTTAGGAACTCCTCTTTAAAGGGATTATCTCCCGCGTCAGCGTATTCCCAGTCTAATTCGGGCAGGTTAAAATCGCCAACTATGATGGTTTTCGTGGATTTCCTAAGTAACGTGCTTAGTGTGTTTATCAGCTGTCTATTCTCTTCTGATCTATTTGAGGGTGCTCTTTAGACTTCAAGGATGACGAAGTGCTGTCCTCAGTTCTGAGTAGTGCATCCAACTGCTTGCACAGTAGCCGTGCACAGTCTCAGTTCAGCGGTTTTCCATTGAGTATATTGGTCCACTACGAGAATCAACACTCCGCCTCCTTCAACTACCTTCCGGTCTGTCCTATACACAGATAAGTCAGGAGGAATGAGTTGATCTTTAACGTGTCTTGGAGACAGCCATGTTCTGGTTAGAATGACTACGTCATATTTTGGGCATCTGGTTTTCAGTTCTCTCCACTTATTTCCAACACTGCGTTTTTTAAACTTCTTTGTCGCAGTGCTGGGGCCGCTGTGTTTAGGTCATAATCTTCATGAGTTCCCTTGGGCGTAGCACCCGAGGGCCCGGCACGTTTTCTACCACACTTTTTTCGTTTCGCCGCGAATCCTCACAGAGATTATATTTTGGCCGAGCCATCCTGCCGATGACTGTTTTCTCACAGTTCAATTACGATTCATTCACATCAGGTTGAATGCAGGCATCGTTTAGTAACAACGAGGCTCTTACACGCGGCTTTCTTATATCATCCCCTGGCCTCTTATTTTGCGTACACCTCGATGTGGTTACAGGGGTCATAGTTAAAGTTGTATTCACGGCCGAACTCCCCTTTAGCGGCGTTGTGTTTATCCCCCTGCCGCCTTTTGTTTATCGTTTTGTTCTCTCCTGGTTTACCGCGGTGCTATTTTATTTGTCGTTTACCCCCTTACTGTAGGGTAATGGCGTTACAGGTATTGGGTTCGGTTGTCGAATCTGTTGTTTGAAGTTTATTTTCGGCTCTCTCTCAATAGTATTTTTCCGTTTACCATGTGATGCCCGGGACTGATGGGCTCGATAACATTCTGGGGGCTGCCTCGGCGTGCAATGGATGCAACGACCTTAGCATAACTCGACGCTGGCTGCCCACCTTGTAGTCTTTGAAGCTTCACCAAGGCGTGGGTTCGAACACTTTTGGGCTGCTCTTTATGGGTACTCCTTTCCCTAGTTGCGGCTGATCCACTTTTAGACGAACGTCCACCAGGGATCCTTTAGTCATGCGATTTAGGTCATCCGGTACTATTCGGTATCCACCCCCAGTAGCTCGTTCTATTTTTTCACTACTGCATAGTAGCATCTCCCTAATATTGGGATTTTCGAACTCAACCAGAATGGGCCTAACAACACTGGCACCATTCTTCTCTCCATCTCTTAATNTACCCCGTTTATGAGTGCACACGCGGGTAAACCTGCGGTTCTAAGGATATCCCGGACTCTTCGACCGTCCACATCAACCCGGACTTTGCGTCTCTTATGACCGGTTCCTCCTAGTTCATAATGAGGACACTTCTGTTTCTGCCGGTAGTCAGTTCTTTCGCGCATTTCAATTCAGACACCTCGTTCTCGAGGCTGGCAATCTTCTGCTCTTGGCGTGTGATCTATTGCTTTCGTTCGAGATAAGTGTTTTGGTCTTGGTTGGCGGTACCTCTAGGTTTGAGCACCTTATTTGTGCGCTTTCGAGTTGTGGCCTCTGCCATGGCTACGCACAGGTAACACATCCACTGGAGCTCTGAACTACTGGAGTATATTTCATACACTCTTTTTTCTAGGTGGGCACAGCCCAGATGATACCAGTGACCAAAACACTCGTACTGTATGCCGCTGGAGACTGGCCTTTTACCTTTCTGCGCACCGCAGACTTCTAATTACGACATTCTTCCAAGCCCACTGTTACGAAGAAAGTTCAGGGTCTGCGATCGAGAACTTAAATTCCACAAAACGTGCGTTAATCTTAGGATAACCACAAGATCGGACACGTGCAGATTTACAAAAACGTTCGTTCGAAAAATTTCTCACAATCCCTAACGGCCTGTAAAAATTAGTAGATGTGCACTCCGCTTTTGTTCTAGCGGGATTATTTAGATTTCTGAGAACTTTGGATAGAAGCTTACCTCACCAATTGAACCCATAAAGTTTAGGTGGAAGAGGCTCTGTTGGCAGCAGAGTGCCTCAAGGCTCAGTGCCGGCGCCGATGCTCTTTCTGTTGTTTATAAATGACTTGTTTCAAGACCCTGCTGTTACTACCTTCATGTTTGCCAACGACGTAAACCTAGTGAACTCAGGGCCTGTAGATCAAGTAGAAGGTGATCTGGCTAACGTCGCCCGGTGGACTCAGAATTGTGAGTTGGAGTTGAACGCTACCATGTTTCATGTTCTAAACACCCTAGGATTGCCAGTTCAAGTGACTACGACCGCGGAACCGACGGTTTACGCTCAAGAAGACCAAATGCCGGATCTGGGAATTTTGGTTTCCTTCACTTCAATCTCAGTGATCAACGCCTGGGCGTCGCAACAAAAAGCAAGAGGGCTACTGTTCTAGCTTAAAGTGGCCCTATGCCAAGGGAGGCTGAGGTTTTTATACCTCTATAAAAGGCCATAGTAAGACCGCAGTTAGAGTACTCCGAGAAGCCTTGGACACCTTACTTGAGGAGAGATTAGAATTGCATTAAGAGGACGCAAAGGTTAGCCACTGAAATGTTCACAGGAATGAGAGGTTAATCATACATGGGGAGGTTAGAGCGCCTAGGACTTTTCTTCATAGAGAGGAGACGCCTAAGAAGCGACCTAATTGACATCATCCGAATGATGAAGGGATTAACTGGGCCTGAGGCAGACAGCCTGTTTACCCGAGCACCGCTCGAGTCAACAAGGGGGCATCATTTGAAGTTAATAAAGCTCAAAAGCCCACTCAACCTGAGGTACAATTTCTCCATGAGTAGAGTGATACATGAGTGAAACCAACTGCCATCTTCTTCACTGGACTGTAGGAAAGTCGATGAGTTCAAAATGAAACAAGATGGGGTCCGGACCAGCTTCTATTCAGAAATTTTGTAGAGTGCCCACTATTGACAGTGAGTGTTCCATGCTGCCTTGTTTTCGAATAACCTTTCTTTGCAGATACGGACTCCAAAAGAGAGACTGCTCCGGACGAAGGCATCGGCTGTGGTGAAACTGTCGACGAGAAGTTGAAGCTCCGGAAGAATGCTGGTTTCGGCTGGAGCAAGAATCTGGACGCCCGACTGGTGAAATCCTTTGCCTTTCTCGGCAACCTGACCTGACATGAACTGAACTGAACTGGAACTCACAGCTCCACCAAGGTAGAGTAATAGAATGAGAAAAGCAAACCAGAGAAAACAAGCAACTTGGCGGCGATATCGGTGCAACGAAACGCATAGAGACTTCCTGCTCTATAAAGTGGCGAGGAAAACAGTATCCAGGGTGCAAAACGAATAAGGGCGCAGGTACGAGGAGAGGTTAGCACTACATGCGAAAACCAACCCAAAAGCTACTTCAATTACGTGCAGTTAAAGACTGCACTGAGGGAGGTTGTTGGATGTGTTAGAGATGGCTTTGGATCAGCAGCAGTAACCAACCGTGAGAAGGCAAACACCCTGTACCACTTCTGTTGGGTCATCTATAGAAGGGATCTAGATGCCCAAGGTAGGTCCGTTGGAGATTGCACGCATCTGGCAATGCCAGAGGTGTATGTAGAACGACGGAACATAGAAGAGCACATACAGATACTGGTGGCATCTAAGGCCGCGGGTCCAGACCAGCTGCCTTCAGCGGTGGTAAAACCTCTGCTTGCGGAACCGCTTGCAAGACTCTTCAGTGAATCACTGGAGGAAGGACGACTCCCTAGTGATTAGTTGGTGTTAACTGCTACTCCAATCTACAAAGCGGGACTAGAAAGGATTGCGCAAATCACGGAATCAGCAATTTGACTTCCGTTGGATTGAAAACCATGGGGAGAATCATACGGAATAGAATAGTCAGATACTTAGAAGCAACCACATTGATGGCCGCACATCAGAACTGCTTCATAAGAACACGCTTGTGCCTGACCAATCTGTTGTGCTTCCTCGAAGAGATAACGCATAAGACTAACCGGGGAGACAGGGTGGAAATCTGCTACCTAGNTTTTCAAAATGTCTGTGACTCGGTTAACTACAAGTTGATGATGCGGAAGCTTTGAAGGTTTGGGCTGAATCAAAAGGCGAAACGATAGATATACAGTTGCCTAAATGATCGCAGCTTCCAGATGGAGATATAAAGGGAAGTCTCTTACAAAGATGAACTTCGTAGTGAGGCCCCACAAAGATCGGTGCTGGGTCCGCTCCTATTACTGCGGTACATCAGTGACTTGGTGGAGGGCTTGAAGAACCTCTGTTTCCTGTATGCTGATGATGTAAAGCTGATAGGCAACCCCGACTCTGAGACCATCCAGAGGGGTCTAAACGAGATCTAATAATGGTCTGTGCTATGGACTTTGCCGATAAATATTAGCAAATGCCAAAGACTCGCCGATCAGCAGGCAGAAGGGCAGATTGTAAAAGCTAGTTTTTTCTCCCTGGCGAGGAGAAGAAGGATTTGGGAACTCATTGAGATGATCAAACTTCTAAATGGTTTGGACGACTTTAGGAAAGAAGGGAAACCACTACTACCTCCTAGATAGAACTCACATTTAAGAGGAAATGACCTCAAGTTAGCTAAGATCAGGGTATGGCAACATCGAAAAAGAGTCATCTCCCTCTTTCATCAGTCGCAGCATCAGGGGATCCCTGGAGCCCACCGCTGCAAACAAATGGACCAACTGGCAGGCCGCAGTCAACTTCCAGGAATTGAACTGAACGAAACTGGTCTAAACTGAACTGAACTGACCTGGATGGGGGATATTGTTGCATTCCGGCCGAGTGGCGCAGATTAACGATAGCTCCGATCCACAAGAAACGAAATGCAGCTAACATAGAAAACTATCGACCGATCGGCTTGACCAGCATCGTTTCCAAAGTGGTGGGGGGAGAATACGAAAATCTAGCAAATTACCTAAAAGGCGTGTACTCCTTTTGGAAGGCACAGCACGCATTCCTCAAGGCTCGATCCTATCTGATAAGCATCTCAGTATTTTTAGACGAAGTGAAAAACAGGTTAGACAAAGGAGAAACAGTCGAAGTTTGCTACCTCGACTTCCAAAAGGTGTTCGACTCAGTTAACCACGTACTCTTATGGCATAAATTAAAAAGTACTCGGGCTCCAACCCAGGTGTGTAACTGGATAGTCAGTCTAATCCACAAACGCACATACCAGGTGCAAATAAGGTCCAAGATCTCCAGCGAAGGGAATGCAACCAGTTGTGTCTCCCAAGGGTCAAAACTAGGACCACTCCTCTTCCTCATATTTATCAACGACATTAGTTTTGATGCAGCTCACTCTCTGACTGACTGGCTGACGACGAATTCAGCAAACTCGTATAGCTCATCATCGACCATCGGTTCCAACAGTTCGTGTGCGTTATCAATCAGAGCTATTGCATGAACTAAGCGCGCGGCGACATGAAGATGAAGGTGAGCAGTGGGCTCAGATTGGGCGAGCAATGCATTCCGCAGCGAATGTTGCCTATTGATATGAGCCTCAAGCCCATCAGAGGCATTGAATAGCTCAGATGTCAGTAGCCCTGATGGGCAAAACCGGCAAGTCCCAACCTGCCAGGATCAAAATAGATTCAGGTGGCAACGTCAGCTCACGAAGAGCTTCAAGAAGGACCGTGAGAACTGGTGGGTAACAATAGCTAGTAAAAAAAAAGTAGAAGCTGCATCAGGGAATAGTCAAAGACTGTTTCCTCTGATACGCAATACGGGAGGTCGGCGAACTCCAGTTAGTAAAACGGTCTGTGATAAGAGGGAACAAGCTATTAACAATATGGATCAACCAACTGGTCGCTGGGTGGAATACCTGAGCGAACAGCTTAGCTGGCCTGCCGCCAACCAGGTTGCCTCATCAGTAACTGAAGCTACTTGGGCAATGTAGTACGACTCTCCAACGGAAACAGAAGTTCAGTCTTGCATTCAAGCTCTGAAGCAAGGAGAGGCAGTAAAACCGGATGAGCTTCCTCCCACTCTTTTCAAGATAGGGTTCATAACCTCGAGAGCTCTATTACTACCCTACTGAGCAACATTTCGACGCAAGAGCACGTTTCTTCATCATGGGGCGAGTCACTGATGGTTCCCATTTTCAAGAAAGAATCTCGCAACGATTGCAAAAATCACCGCGTGAAAAGTTTGATCCCGATCGTCACCAAAGTGCTTCGATTATACTTCGACGTCTGACGCCTTCAAGGGAGACCAATGTCCGTGAAAAGCAAGCCGGATTGCGGCCTGGCTATGAATGTATTGATCAAATTTTCACGTTTCCCCAGGTCCTTGGGCTGCGTCACACCCACCGCCGACTACCGATTGCAATGTTTATTGACCTGAAAGGAGCCTTCGACTCAGTTGACCACGAGGCGCTGATGGGTTTCCTTCTTCGAAAATGAAATGCCAAAAAAGTACGGTAAATTACTGAGGTCACTTTACTCGCATACCTCTGCTTGTGTAAGGGTATATGATGAACTAAGTAGGCCATTGGTTAACAGCAGCGGCGCTCGTCAGGAGTGCCCTCTGTCGCCGTTCCTGTTCAATTTCGTCGGAGACGAAATACTGGAAAACACACTTAGTGGTCTCCAAAACGTAGGTATTCAGTGGACAGCAGGAGAATAGCTGTGCAACTTAGAGTACGCCAATGACGTCTTCTCTCTGTTCGATTACATGAGAGACGCGCAAAGCGCACTTGATAAAGTTACAAGTGCAGTTGCCACATTCGGTATGTGTTTGCACCTTTAAAGTACAAAGCGATGCCGCTATAATGGGATTTGTCTACTCCCGCTCTGGAACTAAATGGTACGGAGTTCGTTACGGTGAATTGCTTTCCCTGCTTAGGTAGTTGCGTGATCATTGACGTTTGTTCATCAAAGCAAACAACCGCCCGTATTTTCAAGACTCAAGCAACATATGCAGGACCAAAACGCCTTTGGAGTAGGCACGACGTTTCACTAAAGCTGAAAGGTCGTGTATATTGCGCTAGTGTGCATTTAGTTCTGCTTTATGGTTGTGAAACCCTGAATTTGCGAGTAGAAGATATCCGTCGACTAGAGGTTTTGATTATCGCTGTTTCTATGGTTTAGCCCGTATGGGATGAAGCGAACGGGTTAGTAACGTGGGGGTAAGCCGCCATGTGTTTGGGAGTTTATCAAGGATAAACATGTTGGCACATCGAATTCAAATTAGCAGACTTTATTGGCTAAGGCACGTATTGCGTATGTCCAGCCATCATCTGCCGCACTGTGCTTGATTCGCTGTAGCTAATCCGGACTGAAGGATATCGCGTGGAGGACAACAAATGACGTGGAGACGAGACATAAAGAATTGCACAGAACCATTAGGTAGAGTAGGTGTCACGCGTCTTCTGGGTTGGGGTGCGAAAGACTCCACAACTGGTTGGTTG